GGAAAGTTTTTTTTTTTTTTTTTTTTTTTTTTTTTGTACCAGGGATGGAACTCAGGACCTTGAGCTTGCAAGGCAGGTGATGGAACCACTGAGCTAAATCCCTGCCCCCTACCCTTTTTGGAGAGAATACATTTTGAAACATGACTATCAGTTGCTCCTGCTCAGGAGCACACTAAGATGAAGAAGGGTTTTGGGAGGAATTGCCATACTTAGGCCTGGTGATGCACACCTGTAATCCCAGCTACTCATAAGGCTGCAGCAGGACTGCACACGTGGAGCCAGCCTGGGCAATTTAGTGAGACCCTATCTCAAAATCAAGGGGCTGCAGATCAGTGCGAAAGCCATGAATTCAATGTTTCAAATAGTGGCTATGAAAGCAACCAAACTCTTGACATAGTCCCATTAAGAGGACCTGCACATTCTGGCCCCAGCCACCACCTTCCAGAAACTGGGTTTCACCAGACTTGCCTCTTAGCTTTCTGAGGGTCTTATGTTCTGATAGCCCTGCAATTCCTCCCCATCACCAGCAGGAGGGGTCTTGCAAATCTTCAAATCTCAGCCCCGCCCCCATTCTCCTATATGTCTCACCTAATTTCTTTATGAGTATCTGTGACTTCAAATTCTTTAGTTTCTAATTTCCCAAAAGTACTTAACTGCCTCTTCTGTGTTAACAATAAAAATGGAATAACAAATTCCCTTGGTCTCTAAAAAGAATGAAAGCTAACCAGTATTCTGGAATTCTAGAACTTGGATTAAAGAATTGGATGGTATTTAATATATGTGGTCATTTCTCACTCACCAAAATGCTATTATTTCTGAACAAGTGTCATAACTTTAAGACAATCTGGATCTGACAAAGCATGTGAACTCTTAAATACATTATCAAACAATCTGTGGAATAACCCTTGACATCTTAAAAATGTTAAATTCAACTTTTAAGAACTCTCATTCTGACTGACAGTGATAAGAATTTTATCCAGAAAAAGACTATCATTGCTTCTAAAGTGGGCTTTTAAGCAAGAGGGACTATTTTAGTAAGCTCTATTGGGAAGGACACTTAAAACTCTCCCCCCGCCCGTACTAGACATCAAACTTGCCATGCAGGTGCAGTGCCACTGAGCTAAATCTATGGCCCCAAAACTATTTTTGATATAATGTAAGACAGCCAAAGATAGAAATAATAAGAGAAAATAATGTTTTTAAATGGGACAACCACTGAAGTTATAGAAAAACCTTCCAACTTAAAAAATGATAAAAGTTTTATTTCATAAACAACTTTTATTTCTTACCTGTATAGACTCTCTTCAGTCAAGGAATCTAAAACCATAGTAAGGATATGCTTTAAATTTCTATATTTCAATTCTGATAAGATGTCCAGTTGTTCTATACCCATCTTCTTGCCAATCAGACCAGCAAGCACACACTGCAGTACAGCTATGTTCCCCCCATCCCTTTCATCGAAGAATTCATTGGTATCCTTTCTCTGGAATCTCTTCCTTTTGCTTTTCATAAAGAGTTCATGCACTAATTGCAAGGCTGGGGTCTTTGATAAGTTCTTAAAGCTTAAAGTCAAATTACTACTCTTACTATCAGTGCTCAGCTGACTCTCCAAGATGTCTGAAGCAGCTGCCAGTCTTGTTTCAGAGTTGGGGTGGATGATCTGCTTTTCCTCCTCTGACTCTGACTGTGAGCTTTGCTCCCGAAGAGTGGACAGTCTTCTTGACCTGCCAAGATGCCCTGATTTTCTTATGGTATCTCCCACATTGCGATTCCCTTTATATTTCTGAAGTAGTTCTTGAAAAGAACCCTCCTGATCAGAGAAGGAATCTTCTGACTTATCCAAGCTCAGTGAGTTAAAACCACTGTCTTCGGGAGTGGAAAAATTACCTCTCACCTCAGTTGAAGGAGAAAGTGTTTGACTTGCAGCAAATTTAATGTTTACTACAAAATTACTTACTGGAGTCAGAAATATGTCTTCATCTCTTCTATACGTTGTTCTACTACCAGAGGAGTCCAGAAGTTCAGGATATGTATTTTCATAAACACTTAAACTGCTATCACTAAAGTCATGTGTGATTGAATCTTTAAAATTATTGCCCTGAATTGGAGATATACATTCAACTTCAAATAGGCTACCATCATCTTTGGAATCATCAATTGTGGAAGTCTTGTGTTGAGAAAAATTTAGTCTTAAATTTTGACTGCTAGAAGTCACTTCTTCGGTTTTTACACTGCTAGTAACTAAAGGGCTAAAATTATTTCGCCTTGGAAATCCTGAAGCATTGTTAGAAATACTCTTTTCTAAGTTGAGAGGTTGGCTTATACTACTTTGAGAACTGTTTTGTGATTCAAAATCTTTCTTTAGAAGAGAGAAAGATACATCTAACCTTCTACGTGGTAAAGATTTTTTTCCACCAATTTTGGGAGTTTCACATAGTTCTGGGGTCATATCCTTTTCCTTCCTAGGGAAGACAAATTTCATTGTTTGAACAGGAGACTCTAGGGAATGCATTGAGCCCAGGCCTGAAATTTCAGGGTGTTTGTGAATTAATACTGGGTCCTTTTCTTGCTCTCCAAAAAAATCTTTATTTGTATTATCAAAAGATTTTGACAACTCATGATGGCCACTATCTTCAAAGGAAGATGTGGAACAAAAATCTCTGAGGCTGGGGTACTTGAACTTGACAGGAGAGTTGGCCTCACTTCCTGTTCCAGGGCGGGCTGAATGCCTTTGAGACATCCTCAAACTCTGTGTTTCTGAAAAGTAAAACATTTTATTCATCTTTTGAAATTAGTAGCCCGGTAGCTTTCTCCAAAAAATATTAATTGTTTGAAGTACAAATAATAATGGAAAATTAAGGGAAAAAAAAGGAAAATTAACAATTCTTTAAAAATTATTTTAGGGCCAGGGGTTTAGCTCAGTGGTTCTGCCGCCTGCCATGCAAGCACAAGGCCCTG